AGAAAGAAAGAAAGAAAGAAAGAAAGAAAGAAAGAAAGAAAGAAAGAGAAAGAAAGAAAGAAAGAAAAGAATAAATTGTAAGAAGAATAAATTCACCACCCTGTTCTATGGCTTTGGAAAATTACATTAAGGAGCAAGAAAGGAAAATTACAGATAGTCCTCGACTTACAACAATTCATTTAGTGACCACTTCAAAGTTATGATGGCACTGAAAAAAGTGACTTATGCCCGTTTTTCACATTTAACGACCATTGCAGCATCCCCATAGTCAAATGATCAGAATTCAGGCGCTTGGCAACTGACTCGTACTTACAACAGTCGCAGTGTCTCCCGGGGTCACATGATCCCCTTTTGCGACCTTCTGACGAGTGAAGTCCATGGGGAAGCCCAGGTTCGCTTAACAACCATGTGACCCACTTAACATCTGTGATTCATTTAACAACTGTGACAAAAAAGGTAGTAAAATAGGGAAAAACTCGCTTAACAACTGCCTCGCCTAGCAGCAGAAATTGGGGGCTCAATTGTGGTCGTAACTCGCGGACTACTGTACAACCCTGCTGAGAAATGGGAACCATGATTAGACAAAGCGGCTGGGGATTATTTGCTAATGCAGCTCAAAAATCTGCTTTAGATTCCTCCTGAGCAGATGGCTATCTCTGCTTTTCATTCTCTTTTTCTCCGCAGAAACACAACTCCAACTTAGTTGTGTTTGTGTGTGTGCGCGTGTATTTTCAAGAATGATGTTGGCTAAGTAAGTTCCTTCGCGGTCTCAAAAATGGATTTGCTCCCCCCCCCCCTTAAGCATTTTTTAAATTTATATGCCTGGAGTCAGGGGTGGGCCACCTGCCCTGAGTTAAAATTAGCCCTTGCCTTAAGCATGAGGTTGTCCCTTCCCACGTTCAGAACAAAAAGAGAGAGAAAGAGGGAGAAAAAGAAAGAGAGAAAGGGAAAGAAAGGGAGAAAGGGAGAAAGAGAATTAAGAAAGAGAGAGTGTGAAGAGAAAAAGGGAGAAAAGGAGTGAGAGAAAGGGCGAAAAAGAAAAATGAGAAAGAAAGGGAGAAGGAAAGAAAAAAAGAAAAAGAGAGATAGGGAGAGGGAGAAAAAGTGAAAGATAGAAAAAGAAATAGAGAAAGGGAAAAGAGAGAAAATGAGAGAGAGAAAGAGATAGAAAGGGAGAAAAAGAGAGAGAAAGGGAGAGAGAAAGAAAAAAGGAGAAATAGAGAGGGAAAGGGAGAAGGGGAAAGAGAGAGAAAGGAAAGGGGGGAAGAGAAAGAAAGAACGAGAGGTGGAGAAAAAAGTGAAAGAGTAAGAGAGAAAGTGAGAAAAGAGTGAGAAAGGGGAGAAAGAGAAAGGGAGAAAGAGGAAAAAAAGAAAATGAGAAAGAAAGAGAGAAGGAAAGAAAAAGAGAAGGAGAGAGGGAGGGAGAAAGAAAGAATGAAAGAGAGAGAGACAAAGGGAGAGGAAGCGAGAAGGAGAGAAAGAGAAATACAGACAGTTGAAGTATACACTGCACATAATAATAGCTACGGAATTCTGGGAATTGAAGTCCAACTTCTTCAAGTTGCCACACTGACTCCTCCAGACTTAACTGATTTGCAAATTAGCCTCTCCAATCGTTGTTTTCCATTTTTGTTTTGTTTTGTTTTTTAAAGTCAAGTCTCCAGCCTTCCTCGGCTACATAATTGTCGTCAAAATCTCTCTGAATTAACTGCAAACTCAAGAATGGAAGAAGAGGCCAACTCAATTAGTCACGCCTTAAAACAGGATAAAATTAAATTATCCATGAATTGTCTCCATCCTTTCTGTCTTGTGGGTTTTTCCAGGAATCGACATTTAATAAAGAAATCCATCCAACGTAGAGCAAGAGTGTCATAAAAATAGCAGGGCTCCGAGAAAAACAGAATTTTGATCTGCGCAGTGTCTGTTAATTTATTTAACAGCTAATTTATTTTCATCTTTGACTCCAGGCATGTCAATTTTCCTAAATCTGGACGGGTTGCAGCAGTCCCTTCCCAAATGGGGGACCCCTGCAGGTAAGTCAAATTTAGCAAAACAAACATAGCTACTCTTCGACTTACAACCATTCATTTAGTGACCGTTCCAAGTTAGGCTTGGCATAACTTGACTCATATTTATGACGGTCGCAGCATCTAGGGGTCATGAGATCCCCTTTTGACAAGCAAAGTCCAGGTTGTTAAGATTCACTTAACAACCATGTGATTAACCTAACAACGGCGGTGATTCACTTAATGACTGTGACAAGAAAGGTCGTAAAATGCACCAAGCCTCGCTTAGCAACAGAAATTTTGGTGTTCCATTGTGGTTTTAAATCTAGGACTATTTCCAGAAGGAATACAGTTGTATATTGCTTAAATGACGTAAACTTATTCACATTAAATTTAAAAAATTTTGAGAAATCTCACAGGGGCCAGCCAGGGCCAGCCAAAGGGCCCAATGCAACCTGGGGGGATCCCTAAAATCCCCCCCTCTTTCTGCTGTAGAAGAAGTCTACCCGGATTTTTTTTTTCATGTGGAAATTAAATTAATAAGTTGGAAAAGTTATGAAGAATTTTCTTTTTTCAACACACTGGAGAAAATGAGGTCATTTATTGCACAAAGCTCGAATGGCGCACTAAATAAAAATACGAATTATTCTATGACATTATGCGCTCAGGTTTAATTAGAATTACACATTCAATAAAAGGGAAACCAGATTGATGTTTGCAAACCAGGTTGTTGTGCTCCAAAAGAGCTGATGGTGGCTAGTTTTGGCTTTAAATGGAGCAATAATTACAGGACAATCATGTTTATCCAAACCAAATGAGTATTTAATCTGACTCAGTGGTTGTTGTTTTGTTTTTCCCAGGTGCCAGCAAAATTTCTACACAACGACAACCACAACAAGGAGGGGGTTTCCTGCGAGGTGAAGTAGGAAGAAGGTCAAACAAGTTTTTTTTTTTAAAAAAAAAAGTTTGACTAGCCTTGATTCATTATTTATCCCTGTGTGAAGATTTTGGGGAATTTAGAGACTGGGTGGCGGTGAGTTCTAGTTCTGCCTGCTTCGTGTTTTTTAGATACATACATTCACATTCGCCCGAGGGACACACAATGAAAAAGCCCAGCAAATATTTTCCACGGGGGTTGATACATAATTGGGAGGTTGAAGAGGGGGGGTGTCTTTCCTTCCTTCCATTCCATTCCATTCCATTCCATTCCAAATTTTATTGTCAGTGCACAACATGTGTACAATGAGATTGGCTAAGCCTCCCTTTGTGCACCACCCTGACACAATACAACTCACAGTGAAGAGAGAAAATCCCTAACCCAGTGAATCCTACTAACAAACA